TGATCAGTTCACGGTTCGTTTTGTATGTTTGCATGTGTGTACGTAAAATACTTATAAAATATATCCTTTTCGAAACGAATGAGTTATCTATAGTCCCGTATGCAATGCTAATCGAACCCGTGCGGGAGCTCGCTCGCTGTGTAGAGATACACTGCGTTGTTGCTATCAATCATAAGCATCGATAGAGTTATCACTGCAGTTCGCCGTCCATTGGAGACGTGCGTGCGCACCTCAGCGACCATTGCGACAATTTAAGGGGCGTTTTGCTCCGGCAGTCCTAACAAGACCCGGGGGCGACTCGCCCGATCAATCTCCACGCGCGCGACCGAGCCGTTTTCCTCGAAACGCAACTGCCCCGAAATCCGCCCCTCCCGAGTAGCGCTAACTAGGAGAAAAAACTTGTTACGGACTGAGAGCCAGCTTGTCATAAACAACCCCCCTCCTACCTACGCAACCCCCCTCCTACCTACGGTCTCGTAGGCAATGCCAAACACACACCCACACACGCTCGAGAGAGAGAGAGAGCGCACTGCCGATTTAAAGCCTCGACTATCTCCGCAACGCAAGGCGCCAGGTCTCGACGCTCGCAGTTATGCGGAGGGGGGAAAGCTCATAGTTTATGCTCCGCGTTATGAGTCGGTCGGGGACACGAGCCCGACCGTGCTTCGCGCAGTCGGCCTATACTGCGGCCTGGACTTAAGCATCGCGGGAGCACCACGGCACGGTGTGCAAGGGTGCGGCGGTCGCTCCGGGCGCCCTCGGAACCCGCGCGTAAGCTGCGGACCCTGATAATTGAGTACAGCGCGTCTTTAGGGTCTAGTGCCCTCTGGTGTGCTGGCACAGCTCGAAAGCTAATCAGAGTTCACTCAGTGGGCGCACTTCAAAACAATGCATGTGTGAACAATCATGAGCGCCATGACCAGGAACACCGCCCTCATTTTTATGAACCTATAGCATCCGCGATTTTGGGGATTTGGTTCTAGATCGTGTCGATTGATTGATATGTGGGGTTTAACATCCCAAAACCACCATATGATTATGAGAGACGCCGTAGTGGAGGGCTCAGGAAATTTCGACTACCTGGGGTTTAGATCGTGTCGAAATACAACCGGTAGCTTTCCCGGTCAACGTTCTTTTTTTTTTCTCAATGAACACTTACGTGCACGACAGGTGTGTTTTGCCGTTGGGGCCCCTTTAACGTAATCTGAGCACTCCCACTTTTCTTTCTCTCTTTGCAATAACTTTATATGAATCTGCAGTTTCAGCGTAGGTAGTGAGCTTTTTCGTAGCGTCGATTCTCCAGGTCTCATCTCAAAGTTGGCAAATCAGTTCGCAATGTTCGAGGAGGTTGAAGTCAAACACCGGCAAACGCTTCCTAATACAGATGCGCATAATAAATTCTATGCAGCGCGACGCTTTCGACGCGATGATTGGTATGGCTGCCAACCTATATGTTTTTCAGAGACAGCAGATGAGACGATTCATACAAGTCTAGATTCCGGACAAAACCGGGTACTGTTTTTTTTTTAGCAATGCATTATACCAAAAAAAAAAAAAATGATGGGCGAGCCGACGCACCCCTTTTAAGTACCTCTTACGAGACGAACTTGAACATAGTCAAAGCAGGATTTTTCATTCTCAATGCGTTTGCGTAAGGGCGTAACATCTAACTTACAGCTTTACTGAATCTAATTGCAGATTTCTTTTTCGCGGTGGGCGGACACACTCACCGCCTCGCATTCAAGCCGTCGCTAACGCTGCGCGCAACTACAGAGCGAGACGGAACGCTGCGGATAGATGAGAGGAGGGCAGGCGCATGCCAGGGCAGGCATCGGATGACGAGCAGCGCCTGCCACGGCTGCCCCCGCCGAGCAAACGCACACGAGCTCTCTTTCTCGGCCAACGAAACGAGCAGGGGAAAACTGCAGTCATGCGCCGCCGCGCGACGCGCTGTCGTCGGCGTCCAGGGAACCTGCCGCGGCGGCAGGCAGCCTTCCCCTGCAGGACTCCTGGCCCTCTTTCCCTCATTCCTGCGCCCTCACCGCGCTGGGTCGGGCTGGCGCCACATCGCAACCAATTTTCCGCGCTGCTAAAGACAGGAGCGGATTAACGCTTTGCGTCCGCCGCCCGCCGAGCTGCCCCGGGGGAGAATTCGCCGTGCCGGGAAGAGATACGAGAGCGGTGGTATTTCCATTCCCTCCTCCACATCTATTCCTCGAGATGGGATGCACGTGCGCGCTTGTGTGTGTGCCTGCCTTGCGGAGGGATACGAGACGAGCGTCGCAGCAGGGCCAACGTGTCTGCGGCTGCCCCCGGGGGTGCTTGCTCTCGCTGCCATCATGAATGGATGGATGGCGGAGGGAACGCTATGATTCGCTCGTTTGCGGCCAAAATGGGGAAACGAAAGGAGCGCCGTGCCGAGTGCGCTGCTGTCCGCGAAGTTTATATCGTCAGATTGCCGTTCTTCGTTTCTTATTTCTTTATTGGCGATGAAATAGTTTCTCTGTTTCGTTCTCTCTTTGTTAGCATATCTGCGAATCGCGTAAACGCGTGCAACGGGGTTCGTTGAAGTGGCGCGTCCGTTCGTGTGTCATAGACACAAGACATTGAAATCACTATAGCTTCTTCGTCGGAACACATGAGTGCAGTGAAGCATTTATAACAACGTTTACAGTGCATTTCTTCATATAATACAGCAGGGTTGTCTAGTACCCGTCAAGCTTTATTGTGGGCGCTGTACGTGTTTTGTACCTGGGTGTGTAATTGAGTGAATGTTCCGTATGTTTGTACTCAAATTATTTTTTATAACTTTCACGAGGTCCTCCTGTAGACACATGCCTGTAAGTAAGAATGGAGAGCTGTACGCATATCAACGTCTAAAATATAAAGTCACCTTTGATTGAGGTTCAACAAATTAATAAACCCATGTGGACAGAGCCACAAGTGAGGGCCACAAGTGAATGCGTGCACACTCCTCTCAACCGCATGTCTATATAAGCGTACCTTTTATTCTCAAATTGAGCTTTGTGTAGCTCTATATAAAGTTTAGCCACGATGTGCTTTCAAAGAGGACCAATCTTTTGCCTATACATTGCCTGTGGTTCTGTGCTTAATATAAAAAAAAACATAACGTACGAGCTGTGCAGCACTTCTGCGCGTTGAGGAATATCTATACCTGTCACCGACTCGCCGTGTCACGCATAACTGCAGCGAGCTATAGCTCGGTCTTCGGAAGCTACGAGATGAACGTCGATACGAGAACCATGACACGGAGTCGAGCGCGGCACATTGGATTCTTCTGGTTGAGCAGCTCGCTTCTCCGAAGCTTGGCACTGCGGTGTGATGGCGGCGTTCCTTGTCCGCGGTCCGGCCCACGTTTATGCTTTGTGCGTGTAGCCGCGAAAGCCACGGCGGCGCGACAGTTCCTGAGGGAGCCGAGATAACGCGGCAGCGTGCGTGACGGGCCCCTGGCCACCCCTGCTTGTACAGCCCGAAGATAAGCGCGCCATCCTTCTGCATGCTTCCAGCGCGGACAGCATCCCCTCCCCCCCCCCCCCCACCGTCAGTGGGCCGTCAGTTACGGGCGAATAAGAGCAGAGAGGAGGTAGAAGAGCTATATATGTGCGTGCATGTGCGACTTGCGCTATTTCTGAAAGAAAGAAAAGAAATATAAACGCGGCCTAATTTAGGCTGCATGACAAAGAACACGTATTAGAGATTACTCCGTTATGGCGCTCGTATACGCATACGCGATTCAAGCGTAGGAGCGTCGACTCCCTCCACACCACCCCTCCCTTTTTCAGAGTGGTGCACGCACTTTCTTCCTTGTGTTTGGCTAATTTCAGACTGAAAAATAAAATAAATAGTTGCAACACTTCCCAGAGGCTGCATGTGCTCGCGCCTATAGCTGATGTTCAGCTCAACATAAAGCGCAGTGCGCAAATGCATAATTGATCGACCTTTCTGATAGCAATGTACAGACGAATAGCAAGAGTATAGGAAGAAAAAGAAAGAAAACACAAGTTCAGAGAGGACGAGGCGAGTACACGAAAAACTGGTGCTTTTCTTGTTGCGGCATCGAATGGCCGATACTGCGTGATAATATTGCAACGCGCACCAAGTACAAAGCGAAGTGGACAAATGGTGCTCGTTCGTCACCCTCAACATGTCCGGTCCATTTGTACGTGCTATACTCTTATCCCGAATAGTTACAAACTCACCCAAGGTTAAGTTGGGCGGTCCAGTGGCACCTCTATACGGGTTATAAGCCTTCCCTCTAGACGCCGATTTGATTGATTGATTGATTGATTGATTGATTGATTGATTGATTGATTGATATGTGGGGTTTAACGTCCCAAACTCACCATATGATTATGAGAGACGCCACAGTGGAGGGCTCCGGAAATTTCGACCACCTGGACGCCGATTTCACCCTTCTCGCCTCTCTGCCCTATATCTCTGTGGACGTTACATTGAAATTCAGTTGGTGCTTGATCTTAAGTTTTCTTGACTATCTTTACAGAGAAATTTGTTGCATTCATTCCTAGGCTACAGGGGCGCAAACCTTGCATGCTCAGGGTCCTGTGTTCAATTTCTTTGAGGCACCTTCGAACAATAAAGCGTGCCATTGTTACATTTAATGGGCTGACACGTGTAAAACCTTTCAGCAAAACTCTATAAGCTGTAGATCGTCGTCAGCCATGCTATTTTATTTGCTGTTCTATTCCTCCCAATGAAGCAAGCAATAAGGATACAAGCAGGAAGGACTTGCATTCTCTCGACTGACAGGGCCACCTGTATTCACTAATTAAAGTCCTTCTTCGGTCGATTGTTCTAACTACTGCATAGTCATCTCAAGATGCATGTGACTCTAGTTGTGAAGGCACTCATCGAATCTATACCATTTCCGTGGTGTTCGTTCTTCGAGTCACACCACTCGTATACAGCTGGAAGAAAGGACGAAATAATGTAGTGGCATGGCTGAAGGTGTCACCACTCACGCTGGGCACGTTGTCGCCGGAGCACATTCCTTCGGACAGTAGCCGGTCTCGTATCTCCCAGGCGAAGATGGACGGGCACTCGCGCTTGAACGCGGCGATCTTGCCCACCACGTCCGGGGTCGCCACGCGCGGCTTGCTGCCACCGATCGCTCGCGGCCGGATTGAGCCCGTCTCGTAGTACCTGCATATAGAGTGTGGTGGAGGTATACTTAATTAACTGCAATCCCGTCTCGTAGTACCTGTACAGAGTGTGGTGGAGGTATACTTAATTAACTGCAATCCCGTCTCGTAGTACCTGTATAGAGTGTGGTGAAGGTATATACTTAATTAACTGCAATCCCGTCTCGTAGTACCTGTATATAGAGTGTGGTGGAGGTATAGTTAATTGACTGCGCCATAACTCGTCGAGCTGCTCACGCTTCTAAATTTTTGTACTCCCCCTTTTCATAGGAAATAAAGATTGATTGATTGATTGATTGATTGATTGATTGATTGATTGATTGATTGATTGATTGATTGATTGGTTGATTGATTGATTGATTGATTCTTCAACAACTAACATCCTTGTTTTACCCAAAGTGGATCGAGAACTATCCGCCAAGTGATGAAGAGATATTCCCAAGTCCTCACGCAATAGCCACTCCGACGTCACCATTATTTCTTGCTTTTATATTTTTATTGCAACCGCATACGTACATTTTTTTTTTCCTCTGAATACTGCCGCCAGGATACTAGCGAAAATGTCAAGCAGCCAAGAAGGGCGTGACGGATCAACTCGCATTAAACATGTCCGTGGTGCATATTGTCCCGGCGCCGGTTACTATGTAATGATACTTCATCGTGCTACTACGAACACCTGTAAGTAAACTGACCTTCCGAGTATCTTGGAGACGCATCCGTTGGAGACCTGGAGGATGCGCGAGATGTCACACGGCCGGGCCCCGGAGTGCGCCAGCTCGACGATCTTCTGTCGCGTCGAGTCCGGCAGAGGCCGTCCGTTGACATACACGCCTCCGAGCTGGTTGACGCCGCTGTGCCCTGCGAGGAACGGTGTACACCAGGATCTTTATACGTGAAACGAAGCCAATCAGCAACGTTTGTTGACGTGAATAAGAGAAACGAAAGAGTTGCAACAGTGTAAGCCATTCGACACCGCCCGTCCTATATAATAACCCATATGGTCTTAAAATCCTCCGCCTAATTTGTTTGCCATAAAAGCTGCATTTTCAAGTTTCATTCACTGCACGTCTTGCGAACGGTAAATTCGTATAGCTTCAAATACATTCAGCTGATATACTAAAGATCTTTGTGTAGACTATCAAATAATTAATTGTACCATACAGGTACTTGCCCCAGCCGATAGATGTGCACTGGCATATACCTATAATGTAGGGTACACACGTTTGACTCAGGGGCGCATAGGAAGCAATTGTTTTCTACACGGAACGGTGGTGGGGTGAACCACTGTACTGTTGGACGGCAACGAACACATTTTTTTTTCTCAGCCATGAAACACTGCAGCGTTCCTTCGCCGACGCGGTTACCTCTAAATTAGATGCGTATAACATCAGGTTGGACAAGAAAGCCGTTCTGTGAAACTTTTGTGTGTTTTATTTTTGTATGTGATCAATTCAAGGACAATTATGAGCTTTCTATCTCACGTTTCAGGTTTTCCCAAAAGTTAGTTATGGCGTGTGCGATGAAATTAGGTTTTTTTTTGTGAACTAATAGCGTAACAAAGGCTTATGGGCCCATTCAGGGCGGGAATAATTCACTACATAGGAGATAATAAGCGCCTAGAACATTATTTCGCCAGCGTAGGTCTATACCGAAAGTGTGAAGTCAAACTTAGTGAGGAAGCTGTGATGATTAAGTGTCAAAGCCACCAGAAGGTTTTTTTTTTCTTATTATGAAAAAAAAATCTTTTACGTAGGCGATAAATATCAGTGACAAAAAGAAAAAAAGACAAGCGAGAACTACACTCTATGAGCTTGGTAACCAATAGATGCAATTTCGCGCAGCTGTGCTACCAAGTTCACAATATGCATAATACATATGGTGTAATAGGGCAGCTGTTGTTTGAACCTTCTCTGCACATATTAACTTAGAGCGTGGAACTGCATGACGTAAATGATAGCTGCTGCTGTTTCACAGAGACACGCACACGAGACGTTTGACAGACCAGACCATTTCCAGCACATCGATTCAAATATACACTCCTCGCCATGGGACTTGATCATTTCTTACCGTTGGCTGGTCTGTAGATCAGACCCTTCCCAATAACACTTTCGGGTGCGCATGTTACCAAATCTCTCTTTTTTTTCTGCTCTACCCGTTCCACTTTTCGAATGCATTCTTGTTAGTGTATGCACAAACCGAAGACCTCCCACTGCGCACGACCAAGCGGTTACAGAGTTGCACATTTCAACTGGTGTCGCCATCACGTCTCTCCCGCAAGCAGACAATTACACACGTGATCCCGCAGGTTCACAGATGCTAACTCGCGCGTCGCCAAAAACCGCGCGTCCACATAACAAGAAACCGCGGCGTTCTTCGTTCTTCTTGATCTCGCTACACGCTCTCCGCAAGAGCACGCTGCGGTGGCGGCGACCTCCCGCGGCGTAGCCCAAAGGCTTCTTCTCCGTTCGAGGACCTTAATCTGCTAAGCCCTCTCGAGGCAGACACACACAAACCGTGCGGTTTTTTGTCGTCGACGCCAGCCGCAGCCCGTCGCCGCATCGTTGTCAGTGTGTGCACTGCTGCCCTCCTTCGGCTTCTTTTAAAAAAATACTCTTTTGTGTGTATTTGTACGCACCCTCGCGTACGAGGACGGCGCGCCCCTGTAATTGGGGGCCCAACCGTGGCAGCGGGAGACGAAAAATGCGCCGCTTTTGTTGTGCACCTCTCCCCCTCAACTATATACGACGATACCGTGGCGTATATGGAGACCCATGCCCCGAGGTCGACCATGTGACTCGGCGATGTCAAACCTTTTGCCCTGCGGCATGTTCGAGGGTGCTGGAGATCTTCGACAGGTGCGGCGATCCCTTGGTGCATCGCGAAGCCGGAGCTGTGTTGATGCTTCGCGGTGTCTTTGCTATACATATGGAATTGCGGATCTATACATAACAACTGAAAGCAGCAAAGGTCTTAAAATCTCGCATCATCACAAGTATTAGGCGGTGTACCCACACGACACCACATGCGTGCACTCGATGAAATTGATAACTGCAACAGCAGCATGATCTCGTCAACAGTGCCCCTCTTCTTAACAACTTTGCGGCGCGCCATGATGTTGGGGTCACATAATATAATGTATAGGCATATATAGTCAAGTGAGTTCTGAAATGTGGGGTCTTCTCTGTGGTTACTCTATGTGCCACGGTTGCTGCAAAGTAGTTGCTTTGCATTTTGAATTATTGTAATAATTTACGATGATTACGCTAAAATGCACTGGTATTCTGGGAGCTTTCGGGCAGCGATGACAGTTGAGAATGCTGCGCGTCATCTCAGCTGCTTACGTGCCTGGCCCCTGAGCGCAAATTAGACGCCCATTTTTTTTCTAGTTTCACGTGCCGGAAGCACTATTAGGTGTACCGTAGGGGGCAAACTCAAGATTGGCGCATCTGGGCTTCAGTAAACGGGCTTCCTCAATCTATGTATGCACGGAGTACGTATAGACACGTGATCTGTTCCGCGGACAATTCAATCAAACGTAGCTCATGCGTGTATCTCTTTCCGAGTCCGTCTCGGTGCAGCGATGGCGTGAAAGGGTCCCATGGGTCCAGGACGGTGGGGCGACACGAGAAGTGAATAGAACCGAGGCAGCAAATAAAAAAAAATAAAGAGAGTACGCGGTTCAGAAAAGCCGCGCGGCTTGCCATTGTGGGCAGCACAATGCTTCTCGGGGGCAGCTTTAACGCGGAGCAACCGCCAAAGGAACCGAAAACCGCGAAGCTGGGGGAGAGACGGAATTGCCTCCTGTATACCTCAGGCCTCGCCGAGTGCCGCCCACACGGCCATCATTCGATGCGCGCGCGCACACACGTGCTTCTACGGCGCATTTCAATACTGCGCCGAACTGGCCCACATACCGTGTCAAACGGAGACCTTCCTGCTCGGCATGCGCGTGATGGCCCGTATGCCTCGATCGTGTGTGTACAGGACATCTCGAATGAGTTTAGCACGTCTATTTGAACGCGTACCTACTTATGCGAGTAATTACTGCACGGAAGTTGCACTATGGGTGGCAGAGTTCGTAGAAGTAATAATAATAACTGACGGAGTTTAACGTCCCAAAACGACGACGCGATCATGCAGATACGCCGTAGTGGAGGTCTCCGGAAATTTCGACCACATGGGGTTGTTAACGTGCACCCAAATCTGAGCGCATGGGCCTACAACACTTTCGCCTCCATCGAAAATGCAGATGCCGCCGCTGGAATTCGATTCCGCGACCCGCAGGTCTGCAGCCGAGTAGCCACTAGACCACCGCGGCGTAGCTTCTTAGAAATGTAGAACACCACCCGACAATCTATCAGCTCCGAACTTCAGATAACTCGTAGCTATAGCCTGGCCTTTTCTTAACTGTTTGAAGGCCTAATTTCCATAGAAAAAAAAAACGATGTGGTTTCGAACCTCTGACTTTGGGAGCTTGGCCAATTTAGTGTGGTGCATGACCCTCCTTCTCACGCGTTTAATATTTCCTAACTTCTTCCGGTCTCGCTCAATTGGGACATTGTTGGCTTCAAAGCGTCCGCGATGTCGGAGGTTTGTAAGTATACACTGGCCTCCGGCATTTTCACCTCCATCGAAAATGTGGCCCGCAGCTGGATTACTCTCCCACCACATGTGAGTCGGCAGTCGAGCACATAACCACTAGGGTGGCGGACTATATGTGAGCGAACACCACGTAGAGTTACTATAGACGCATACGTGTACGATTTGTTGTTTCGTTTGGTTAATGCGAGCAAGGAGGCAAACGTGCTTAATAAATATTGGAATATTGTCAAGTTGTAGTGATGGAAAATAATTCAACGCTGCTTGTACTGCGTTTAAAGAATCTGCATAGCCCTTTATCGAGCGAACCTGTCGCAAAACAGATGAAATGCTAGCACGAAGACAGACGTACACAAACACACACACGTGCACACACGCAAACACGCACGCCGCGACGGTCTAGTGGCTAAGTCACTCGGCTGCTGACCCGCAGGTCACGGGATCGAATCCCGGCTGTGGCGGCTGCATTACCGATGGAGGCGGGAATGCTGTAGGCCGTGCGCTCAAATTTGGGAGCACGTTAAGAACCCCGGGTGGTCGAAATTTCCGGATACCTCCACTACGACGTCTCTCATAACCATATGGTGGTTTTGAGACGTTAAACCCCACATATCAATCAATCAATCAATCACACACACACACACGCACACACACACGCACACACACACACACACACACCCACACACACACACACACGAAATCTTGTCGAATCTTAATTCACAGGTTTAGTGTGAGCCCGTTTTCCTATATGCATGATTTGTCGTAGGTCTCACAATAAGCACTGGTGCTCGAGTGCTATAAAAAAAAAATGTGTATGCAGCTCAATTCAAGACACGCTCAACATGTGACCAAGCACGCTTCCTTTGCTACACGCAGCATCTGATAAACTTCAAAGGTGTGGCTTCCGTCGAGCAGCAGCAATGTTTCGGCGAGGTCAATAACTGCCAAATGGTAAAACGGCGTCCGCGATAACATTATCGCGCACTGTAACGCCTCGTGAAAGAAAATTCACGTGTCATGTCTTCCCTTTATATGCTAAATTTAAGCGTAACAGACGATGGCTTCACGGCAATACCGCAACATCTAACAGAAATGCGCCCCCTCATCTACCAGCTGTGTTGAGCCGACTTGATAGATGCAAAAAAAAACAGAAAAAAGGAAGAAGCGCTAAACATTGTCCTAAGCACTACACATTCAGCTGGTGTAACAAATGAAAACTGTCTAAAAAACAAGAACCAAAAAAAAGTTGAGAATGCTGCGCGTCATCTCAGCTGCTTTCGGGCCT